CTGGGGCTGGGCGCGGGGTGCCCCCCGGCCGCCGCCCAGCAGCCCGCCGCTCTCCATCATGGGCCTCATGCCGCTCACCAAGGAGGTGGCCAAGGGCAGCATCGGGCGCGGCGTACTGCCCGCCGTGGAACTGGCCATCGAGCAGATCCGCAACGAGTCGCTCCTGCGCCCCTACTTTCTTGACCTGCGACTCTACGACACCGAGGTGAGTGGCCGGCCGTCCGCGCCGTCGGGTTGCCGGGGGCCATTGGGATGAGCCATGGGGACAGAGGCCGCTGCCCGACCCTCGACTAGAGCCCGGATTGACCCGCGCCTGCCGAGAGCACCGCGGGCCGGTGCCAGGGCTCATCCTGCCGGGGTCCCACTGGGCTTGGTACCGTTTGCCCAGCACCCCCTCCTCCAGGGTTGTCTATGTGTGTTTGTGTGTGCGGTTGTTGGATAGAGACTAGAGGCTCATTTGGCCAGACAAGGAGGAGTGTAGGAGGTTGGGGCTGGACCCCTACAGGCCTGCAGTGGTTGCCCCTGCCCGAGTCCCGCTCGCTCGTGGGGCCGTGAGGTGACGAGTGGGAAGAATGGGTGTTCCGACTGCATCCTGGGCCACCCAGGGCCGGAGGGGCCGCAAGCCTGTCCGCGGGCTCCCAGGAGAGCCCAGCCGCGCTTTGAGGTCCAGAGCTCCCGGACCCCGGGGACACGAGCGCGCAGCAGGGCTCGGAGCCCGCGCAGCGCGGGCAGGTGTGGGGCCGACGGCTCTGCAGGGCTGCTGCCTGGATGTGCCCGGCTCCCTGTCGCCTGAGCAGTTTTGTGCGGAGAACCGCCCCCCGCCCCACCTGGGGCCCTTGCTCGGGGAGTGCTGAGCAGGTCCCGGCCCGGGCGCGCGGGGGTGTCCCGCCGAGCCCCTGCTGTTGGTCAGGCGGCTGCAGGCGCAGTTTCTGCCGGCGCAGACTCGGGCAGCGTTCTGGAAGCTAGAGCGTGCACTTGGAGCGCAGCACTGCCTTCCTTCCTCGGCCTCTCTAAGCCCGGCGCTTCCTATCCCAGCCCCCCTCGCCATGCCCTCAGCTTGGGGTCCGCGGAAGCCCCGGCTCGGACCTTCACCGCCAGCGGGGAAAAGGGGGCGCGCGGAGGGGCTGGAAGGAGCGGTCGCCTGCAGCGTGAGGTCAGGTTTGGGAGTTTTTCCGGACTGAGGGACTCCCTATGCTACCAGCACAGGGTCTGAGACGCGGCCTGAAGGGGGCAGTGATTTCCCGTGCAGCTCCCTCGCTTGGCACCTCTTCCAGGGCGCCTAGGCGGGCCAAGGCGCTGGGCTTGACCCTGGCATCCCAGGGCTCCCCGGGCACTAATCGTGAAACTTAGGTGTAGACCGCTTTGCGGAGGAAGGTCGCAGATAGAGTCCTCCTCCTCTTTTGATGTCCCGGGAGAAAGAACAGAAATCTAGATCGCGTCTCATCTCCCCGCCTCCCCCCTTCCACTTATGCGCTGTAAATAAAAGGTGAAGAAGGGTGACAGTTGGTGGCGGTGTGTGCAGGTTGCTGCAGGCAGAGAGGCGTCCTCCGTCCTGGGAGAAAGCAGGCCGGGTCCCTGGTTGCACAGGTTAACCTGGCTGTTGTCTTGTGTCTGCTGAACATGTCAAATTCTCTGGGGCACTTGGCCTGCACACGTAATGGACCGAGCAGTGCAAACACGGAGGCATGTCTTCTTGACATTGTCTCCCTGTGGCTGCCACACGTATTCTGCTGGAAGGGACACTGGAGAGCCAGGAGAGACAAAAACGTGTAGACAGGGCGGCCCTGCCTGCCTCCTCACCACATACTGTCAGCTGCATAATGTTTCCATCATCAGTTTATTCCAGATTAGAAAGCTTCGCTGAAAGAGATGGCATATTATCCTGTTTGTGGCAGCGAGGAGATGGATGGTTGGTTTCAGGGTGTGGACTGAAGCTCTTACATTCTATTTTTCGAGTGTGTCTTGATGACTTTCTGAGTGAGAGGGCCCACATCAAGAGCATGAGACCGTTCAGTCCATCAGGATATTTAAGAAACTGTAGGAAGGGCAGTAGGGGATGAACTCAGCTTCATGCCAACAGAAAAATGTCTCTAGTCTTCTGAAGGCCCGGAAGGAGCACAGAGCTTGGGCTTTTGCGTAGGTGGTACCTGGGTTCTACTCAGAAACTAGCTGCTTTCCCACTGGGTGACCTTGGGCGAGGTGTTTCATCTCTCTAAGCCTAGATTTTCAGAGCTGCAAAAACGGGGCCAGTCTGTGTCCTCTGCCGGCAGCGACGGGAGGCTTATAGGAGGTAACAGCCGAGTAGAGGATGACCTGTGCGGCCGAGCCCAGCAGCCGGTGCGTTGCCTGGCATGCAGTAAGCACTAAATACATGTGTCCCACCTCTCTGCCTTCGTTTTCTTCTGGCATGGGTTCACAAGTAAGACGTTGTTTGTGGCTTTAGATGCAATAAACTGGTCAGACCACATAAGCAGACGACCTATCTGTTTTGCTGGTTTTTGAAACCCCGTGAAGAGTTGGTGAAGTTAACAGAAAGACGTGAATTCTTTTACGATCAAGTGTGTGATCTTCTGCCAGGGGGTGTCAGGTTTGGGAGAGCACCCGGTGAAAGAATTATTTAATTTTTTCAGACGGCTTTGCCTTTACAATAGACCCGCTTCCTGTCTGAGCTGCAGGGGAGGAGGGATCAGCCCCAGTTAATTTGCAGCAAAAGCTGAAGGAGTGTTGGGGCCTGTGCACCCTCCCCATGAGCTGTTTTGTGGATTGTGCTGCTGCCTCCCGACCTGCTCCAGGGTTACTTGTCTGTAGCCCTGAACACAGGATGGGAGCGGGAAGCAGACTTTGGCTGCTTTGCTGGCCTTTGCTGTCAGCCAATGGCCGGTGATTGTGGGCAGCCAGAATGGACCGCTGTCCACACAGCCTGCAGGGAGATGGAGATTTATCAAGCAATTGGTTCATCTCTTCAGTGGGGATAGCCGGCCTCGAGAAAGGAGCTTCCTGCATGCATTTATTTGTCTAGGTTGGCTCTCTACTGTGATTAGAAAAGCTCTAGACTTTCAAAGCTCCACTCAGTGCTCTGTGTTTGTGAAAATGAAAACATCCCAACGCAACACCTGCCAGTCAGAACCTTTGCTTCTCTGGTGTACCTCTACATCACTCCAGTAAAAACTTGTTTGTATGTCCCAGGGAGGAACTGAGTAAATAAAAACACAAATCAGGACCATGGAAAATACAAATACAACCAGGTGTTAGAAAGCACAAAGCAGCAGCAGGAAGGTACTGTACCAAGACCCTGTACTAAGATGGTGATTGCAATTTGAGCATTCTGTTCAGCTCTGAGCTTCCTGACGTCAGGGTAAAAAGGTAAACATGGATTACATTACTTGCACGTTTTATTTAAGCATCTGAGAGGCAGTGTATTTAAAAATAGTTTTGCAGGAGATTTTCACTGTATGGTTGTTTCTTACTCTTTGGTAGCCAAATTCATCAAATTAGACTATAACTGAATAAATAGTATTGACTTTTTTTTATTTGATCCAAATAATGTTGATTGGAAAAAAGTTGTCAGTTACGAAGAAAAGTAATAAGTGCTCATAATCCATCTATGCAATAATTACTGTTCATAATTAGTATCATTCCCTTTCAGTTGCCAGTGTTTACTATTTTATGTATTGACATCTTACTGTATGGACTTTTATTCAGTTAACAATTGTCTCATAAATATTTCCCTATGTCATCATATATTCTTTATACAGATGATTTTTGGTGGCTGCATACTGTTCCATCCTCTGGGTGTACATGAGTATATGCTTGTTCAACTGTTGTTGGACTTGCATGTTTTCCAACTTGTTTCTAGTGTAAATCATTCTTTGATAAACTTTGGGAAAGTTCAGGGAGCCGAAGGAATACAGTGCCGGTATGCAGGTCTCAGAAGTCCACCCTGATGCTGGGCTCGGGCTTTGAAAACCCAGAGGAAGTGACTGGTGAGCAGGCCCTTTCTTGAGTGGCTTCACCAAGTGGCTGCCTTCTCCTCTGTTGTGCTTCAGAAAAGGCCCAAACGACCGTCAGATTGAGGTTTCCCTTCCCAAGAGGGTCTGAGCACAGCTCAGCAGGTGTTTGTGGAGCACCTACTGCGTTCTTGGTGCTGCAAAGGGAGTGAAACACAGCCCTGGGCTTGAGAGATGGGCACGTGGTGAGCAGGAGAGAGCAAGGCATGGTTTTCCCTTCAATCTTCTTTGTTCTTGTTGAGAATGCTTACAACAGATTCTAGACTATTTCAACAGTTTCTCCATGTAGAATTCAGCGGCATGGATGACATCTTGTGAGTTGGGCAACCACTCTCCTCCTCCTTTTCCGAGTCGTTCCTCCACTTCACATGAAGTCACAGCCCCTCAGGTTTCTATCTAATCTCTCGAGTGGCTGTTGGTCACTTTGATCCCACGTAGATAGTTCTTAAAATAGTACAGTGCTCAAGGCAGACATTTTTTTGCTAGTTAAGCTAGACCATTGTTTGGTTACAGGAGCTCTGGTGATGCTGTGGTTAAAGCATTGGGCTGCTAACCAAAAGGTCAGTGGTTCGAATCCACCAGTTGCTCTTTGAGAGAAAGATGAGGCAGTCTGCTTCTGTAAAGATTTAAAGCCTTAGAAACCCTGTGGGTAGTTTTACTCTGTCCTGTAGGGTCACTATGAGTCAGAATCAACTTAATAGCAGTGGGTTTGGTTGTTACTTGGTTTTAAGATTTCAGGGGATATTTTTGGTTTAAGGTTTAAAGATTATTTCAGGGCAATAGCTTGAACGGTTCATCCAGCCCCTGTGGCTCTAGAAAGTGTGGATTCCATGAAAATTTCAAATTCTGTTGTGCATTTTCCCCTTTTTGCTCAGGCTTCTTCTATGGGATCTTTGACCAAAATGTTTAGTAATGGTATTTCAGCACCTTCCAGTTCTGGTCTCGCGGCAAAGGAAGCATGGAGAGAATATTGGTGATTTTCAGTGAGTGAGAGAGTAATTGATAGTGGTAATGGTCATACAGTTCTGTGGCTATGCTAAAACTACAGAGCTGGGCATTGAAAATAAACAAACACATTGCTGTTGAGTTGATTCCAATTCACAGTGACCTTATAGGACAGAGTAAAACTGTCCCATGGAGTTTTCAGTGCTGTTTCCGATGTGGATTGCCACATCTTTCTCCCATGGAGTGACTGTAG